CCGAAGTGCTAGGATTACAGGTGTAAGCCACCATGCCCAGCCAGGCTGTAGAAATTTTTATTTTATCATATCAGCAAGAGGGAGCTAATGAAAGTTTTGCTAAGTGCCACACTTTTGGGTGATTAGGCTTCTGATTATATTCAGTGCGTGTTAGAGGGAGGGAGAATCTATACAGAGTGGAGCTGATAAGAAGTCTTTTCACAGTGGCTCAAGTGAGAGGACGTTAGGCTCTGAAGCAGAGCAAAGGCAGGGGAAATTTAAGGAAGAGATAGATTTGAGAGGAGAGTGGTAATACAATCAATGATGTGTTACAGTCTTGATGAGGAGGGGGAAGAAAAAGGAGTGGAAGGCATACCTAAGTTTTTGATAGAGCAATGAGGGAGAAAAGGTGATGCTTTTAGTGGAAATTGGGAATGAGAAGTGTAAATTTTGGAGGGTAGAATAGGGGATATGAGGAGAACAGTAAATGGGAAAATAAGCATCCCATGGAGAAAGTTCTTTAATTTACCTTCATAATCTGTTAGAGCTCCCTTGAAATCTCTGTTGACAAGGTTCTTCATTTTCATTGTCCTGTTTATATCTGACTCAGTCTCTGATATGCTCATTCAGACTCATTTCCTCTTCTATTCTGGGGGTCGATGAAAATGATAAAGTGCCATTGAACTTATAAGTTCTTATGAGAATTTGCCCCAAATCAAAACTTCGACACCATTTCTCTCATACATCAGTTGCCTGTGAGTGGCTGTTTGGATTTGTAGATTAGATTATAAGGGATATTGAGGTCTCTGCAATCCTTGTTGCTTTCGTGTCCTCGTGAATTTAGGCCTAGCTTGTTGTTGCCCAACTCTCTTTTCTGTACTTGAGATCTATGTGAAAACACATAAAGAGAAATGGGAGGGAGACAGCAAAATCCAGCTTAGAGTGAGCAAAGAAATTCTTTCTGCCAAACAACAGATGCAGTAGCCCTCCATAACTGTGAGCCCTGTCCTCTTTATTCTTTTTGGTTACATATTTAAGCTGCCTTCCTTTCTCCCTGCTGTCTTGAGTGACCAGGCAGTTGCTTTGCAGTACTCTGACTCATGAACTGATAAAATTTGCAAACTCTTCTAAAGACATTCTATTTTTACACCTTAACCAGTCATATGTTTCAGGACGGACAGTGTCCATCCAGCCTTTTTTTTTTCTCCCACAACTCTTGAGTCTTCAAAAAAAAAAAAAAAATCATCTAGGCTAGATGCAGTGGCTCATGCCCGTAATACCAGGACTTTGGGAGGCTGAGGCAAGAGGATCACTTGAGCCCAGGAGTTCGTAGCCAGCTTGGGCAACCTAGGAATACCCTGTCTCAAAATAAATAAATAAATAAATAATCATCTAGATGGTTTCTTCTGCCTGTATGTTATTTGACTTTAGAACTCCAAAGCTAATTTCTTCTCACCTCATTCTACTCAAAGGCTACCCACCAGGATATCTTACTCGAATGAGTCACTTAGGGGGATTTTGTTGCTAATAAAATTAGTTTAGTATATTTCACAACTACCACAAAAGTAAAATAACAATAAAGGTTTTTCTTTTCATAAGTCATAAAACCACAAAAACAAAGAATAGAAGAAGAAAGAGATAATAGTGATGAGATCATGGGAAGGTGGAAATCCTACTGACAAGTATGAACTGATGGATCAGACTTAAAGTTGAATCATGGGCCAGCAGTGGAGGAAGTGGGGCAGGAACTTGGTTTGCACCCCAGAATCCTCAAAAAGCTTCATAATTGGTGGCATCAGCTAGCTTTAATGGGGGAAGGGGTAAGTTTACAAACAAGAGAACTGGTTGAAAATTTATATAACAAATACTTGGACTCTCAGATTCTTTCCTCCATCTGCTCTCAGAAAGGGGGAACCCTTTCCCTTGTTTGTAAGTCTACAAACAAGAGAACTGGTTGAAAATTTAAATAAAAAAAACACTTAGACTCTCAGATTCTCCCCTCTATCTGCTCCCAGAGGGGAAGCTCTTTTCCTCCATTAACAGAAGACTGGTGACTTATTTTCTGGAGAGAGTAAAACAGGTAGTCTCTGGTCTGGTGGACTCCTGACACAAGTGAGTGCGTAGATTTTGAACTAAAGCAAGGGAGAGAGAAATAAATGAAACTTCGCATATTGAATGTTGAAAGCTCTAGGCTCTTCTCTAACTCAGCTCTCAGAATGCTGGTCTTACATATTTCAGACTGCAGTTTGGAAAATTCATCTCTAGAAAATCTGAGCAGCTCTAAGAAAAAACTTAAATGAGTCAGTCCAATCTCATCTCCCTGTACTGAAGCCATAGTTGACAAGTCCTACTACATGCACTAATGTTCCCAATGACTTATAATGAGTGTCCCAGTCTTCCATGTTAGCAAATAGCCAAGCATCATCACACATCTCAGAAAGTCTATAACATGAAGTCTCACCAGTACGAACAGAACAAAGCAACTTGGAACAAGAAACTATGCAAGGACATTGGAAACCTGCCCCTCTAAATGAATGAATGAATGTCTCTGAGAGTTGAAAAAGAGATTGCATCCTTGAAAGAAAGAACAATATGCTGTTTCAAAATTTTTTTTTAACGAAGCCTTGGAAATTTAGAATATGGTTGACACCTGGGCACAGTGGCTCGCACCTGCAATCCCAGAACTTTGGAGGCTGAGGAGGGAAGATCACTGGAAGCCAGGAGTTTGAGACTAGCCTAAACAACATAGTGAGACCCTGTCTCTACAAAAATTTTAAAGTTAGCTGGGCATGGTAGCACATGCCTATAATCCCAGCTACTCGGGAAACTGAAGCAGAAAGATCACTTGAGCCCAGGAGTTTGAGGCTGCAGTGAGCTATGGTTGCATCACCACACTCTAGCCTAGGCAAGAATGCAAGACCCTGTCTTTAAAATATAAATACACATATACATATACACACTACCCATACATACATTTACGTGTATACGTGTTTATGTCTATATATTTATATGTGTGTATATCTATATATATGTGTGATAGAAGAAATGAAAAATTTAATAGAAAGGTTGGAAGATAAAATTGAGGCCACTGCTCAAAAAGTGGAGTTTAGCAGCCAGACATAGTGGCTCAAGCCAGTAATCCAAGCACTTTAGGGGCCCAAGGCGGGAGGATCACTTACCAGCCCGGGCAACATAAGGAGACAATACCAAAAAAAAGTAGAGTTTTTTTTGTTTTGTTTTGTTTTTAATGATGCAGAAAATAAGACAGAGCAGTAGAAAATCAGCCAAAAAAAAAAAAAAAAAATCTATTATCTGAATTACAAACTTCCTAGAAGAGAAAACCAGAAAATGAAGAGAAAATCATCAAAAAATTTTTGATAAAATTTCTCAAAACTGAAGGTAATGAGTTTCTATATTCAAAGCATCTGGTAAGGTACCCGACACAATGAGTAAAGAAGGTCTCACACCAAGGCACATCATTAGTGATGTTTCAGTGTGTAAGAAGATGCTGAAAGTTCCAGAGGGGAAACAAAGAAACAGGTCACACGCAAGGACAAAGAATCAGAAGGGCAACAATAGAAACAGAAATGGAACAATGCCCTTAGATTCTGAAAGAAGATATTTTTCAGCTTAGAATTCTGTGGCTACCCAAAATATCACATGTGAAGATAGAATAAAGACATCTTATGGGCCGGGCGCAGTGGCTCACGCCTGTAATCCTGGCACTTTGGGAGGCCGAGGTGGGTGGATCACCTGAGGTCAGGAGTTCAAGACCAGCCTGGCCAATTGGTGAAACCCCATCTTAAAAAAATAAATAAAAATAAAAATAAAATAATTTTAAAAAGATATTTTATAATATGTAAGGTCTTACAAAGTTTACTTCCAAAGTACCCCTTTTCAGAAACCTAGCAGAAGAGGTACGTCACCTAACCGAGAAGTAAACCAACAAAGAGGAAGACTAAGGTTCCAGTTTAAGTCAGGGATAGAGAATCTCCAGGATAATGAAGTCTGGTCCCATAATGTCAACTATTCAGCACATCCAGAGAGCAAATGGCTAGAAGATACAGCATAGGGATATTTTTGAAGGATGCACAAAAAACTGTTAATAATAGTTACCTTAGGAGTAAAAATGGGAGGGCAAAAAAAGAGCACTTTTCCTTTATATTTTTATAATATTCGAATCCTTGCTATAGCAGGTATTACTTCTTTTGTTTTGTTTTCTTTTGTTTGTAGCAACAGAAGTCTTATTTTGTTGCCCACGCTGGTCTTGAACATCTGGCTACAAGGAGGAATTTTGCACCCAGTCTTTTTTATTTTTTTTTCCAAACAAAAGATCTTGCTCTGTCGCTCTAATGGTTTTTTTTCAAACCATTCAAATTTAGCAGTGGGTTTGCTTTTTGTTTTTTAAGAAAGAGGGTGTGGCGGCTCACACCTGTAATCCCAGCACTTTGGGAGGACTAGGCTGGTAGATCACTTGAGGCCAGGAGTTGGAGACCTGCCTGGCCAACATGGTGAAACGCCTTCTCTACTAAAAATACAAAAATTAGCTGGGCATGGTGTTGCATACCTGTAATCCCAGCTACTCGGGAGGCTGAGGCACAAGAATCACTTGAATCTGGGAAGCAAAGGCTGCAGTGAGCTGAGATCATGCCACTGCCCTCCAGCCTGGGTGACACAGTAAGAATCTGTCTCAAAAAAGGAAGGAAGGGAGGGAGGGAGGGAGGGAGGGAATGCTAACTATGCAAGCAAGCAAGGAAGGAAGGAAATGCTAACTATGCTGGGAAGTATTTATATCCTCTAGCCAACTTTCCTTGGTAATTCTAGGCTTATACTTCCTCACTACAGGAAAAGAGCTTGGGAGGAAATGTCTTTTAAGCAAGAAAAACCCAAACACTCTCCTAAAAGATAAGCTTCCTCCCCCATTTCAGTATTAAATTTTCCATAAATGTAGGGCAAAGGAAGGTTTCTTTTGGACTTCTGAGCTGCAGCAGTCCTCTTTTTGCCAGAGTCCTTCCATAAGAACTTTCTTTGCCTCACAACCTTGATTACCAATAATTAATCTCAGATGAAAGATTCTGTGTTACAGGCTTCCTCTGTCTTTAACGTAGAGAACATGCTGAGAATAGTTTGTTTGCTTGCTTACCAGAGATCTTATCTTGATCCAGAAGAGCTGATAGGATCATAAAACCAGCATTGATCTTTCCTCAGTATTCTTTCTCTACAAAATGAGGGGGTATGACATCTTAGCCCAGGACAACTGTGAGATTTACTGTATATCAGGAGAGGAAAGGGGGAAGAAGTGGATTGTCATTCAATAACGGCTATGTTTCAAAGTCATAAAATTTAAAGAACTCTGTAGTGTGTTCTAGTCCCCATGCTTTCTTTGCTCTTTCTCAATGTATTTGGATAAATCACTACAGAGCAACAAAGCCAAAATGTCCAAACCACCCACTTTCCTATTCCCAGCATATGAATGAGAGGGAGCCAGCTGAGATCTGGGCCAACCACTTAGATGACTTGTATGTCTAATTTTTGTTCCATGATATGAAACTCAAAATAAATCAAAAAGAAAAATATTTTCAGATACCAGCTAATTCACCCAAAAAGGTCTTCAGCCTTTTAGTCCTTGCACACATGCAAAACTGATAAACAAACCTACTCCGAACACAGATAACAAGGATTTAGAAGTTAATTCCTACCGGCACAAACAGATTCTCATATATAGCAGTCTTACTGAACTTCTGTGTTCAGTGTTAGGCTCTAAAACTTGAGTGAAATCTGAAGAACATTTAGGGTCTAAAAGGAATTGAGAAAGACTTGGAAAACAGGGCCTTTGAAGACATGTTATAGGAAACAGAATTTGAGCTTAGAAAACAATGCATGTGATCGAAAAGAAATGTGAATAACAAACAAAGATAGAATAAGAGAAAGTTAATATAAATATTAGAGGAAGCTATTTAGTTTTGATGTTAAGGATAAACTTTCTGACTGAAACTTGTTAAACCCAAAAATGGACACCCAGGCCAGGCACAGTGGCTCACGCCTAGAATCCCAGCACTTTGGGAGGCCGAGGTGGGCAGATCACTTGAGGTCAGGCGTTCGAGACCAGGCTGGTCAACATGGTGAAACCCTGTCTCTACTTAAAAAAAAATTAGCTGGGTGTGGTGGTGGGCACCTGTAATCCTAGCTACTCGGGAGGCTGAGGCAGGAGAATTGCTTGAACCCAGGAGGCAGAGGTTGCAGTGAGCTGTAATTGTGCCCTTGCACTCCAGCCTGGGCAACAGAGCAAGACTCCGTCTCAAAACAAACAAACAAAAAACAGCCAAAGGAATGTTGTAGAGCTCAAGCTACGAAGATGTGGAGGGTGCAGTAAGTTCACTCAGTGCATGAAGTAGTGTTGGATACAGATGTTTACAGGTACAGATGTTTAACAGCAATATCTCCCTAATACCATAAATCTGATATTCCAAGCAATTCGCAGAGAAACGAATCCATTCTGCACAAATTTGGCCCCTCTGCATGGCCACAGCACCTTCAATTTGGTTCACTTACCAGAAGAACAGCATGTTCTGTTTAGAAGCAGGACCCGATCCCAGGATAGGATGAACTGCATAAATGGAGGTGCAGTGAGAAATGATAAAAGTCTAAGAGGTTCTAGAAAAGAGAAATCTCTTTCTGGGCCTCATTACCAGTTATAGACATTTTTAGAAAAGGAGAGGGAAAATAGATGCAGAACACATCTAAAAATGAACAAAGCTATGGTAATTTTAAGAATGGAGGCTGTTTATAGAGAGAGGAAATTGGTTTGTATAATTAGATAGATCCAAAAATTACCTTGTCTTTATAATATACCTTTCTGTTAAGGAGATAGAACATTTTCTCTTGCCAGAGAAAGACAGAGTGTCTTCCTTTTGTAAAAGAACATCACCAAATTACAAGCAGGTTTAAGTCACACTTTGAGTTGCTGGCAGACCCAAGACAAACCCCCAGGTCTTCTCCTTTTGGCTAGCCTGTATACTGGTGCAGAGCCATTCTTGCATCAGTATGAAACATTTATTTTTTTCCTTGGCTTGTGTCTTCACCGCTGACCTTCATCTCTCCTGTCCTGTAGCTGGGATGAAAGCAGCTCCATCAGCAGTGGACTCAGCGATGCCTCAGACAATCTCAGTTCAGAAGAATTCAATGCCAGCTCCTCACTCAACTCGCTCCCAACTACTCCTACTGCTTCTCGCAGGAACTCAACAATAGTGGTGCGTGAGTTTGCAAACACCCAAGCCGCCGTCTCAAGATGAACCACAGGGCAAACAGCATTGTCTGTGTATGGGGTTGCACGTACACACCCACTCCATGGGTTCTCATAGGCCTTTGACCAGGTCATTTTAGAGCTGCCCCTGCAAAAAAAAAAGTTAAGGCTACTCACCCAAGACATTAGATGTTGTCATATTGTCTATACTTAGTGCCTACACCAATCTAGAGTAATACCTGTAAGAGCTATTCCAACTGGAGAAGAAAAAGAAACCTAGAGATATATGCCATCTGCTGTCGGGAATCCTAGGTATCTAGGTACAAACCCTAGGTTGACTTAGTACTCTGGGATGCACAGCGCCAGGTACTAACTAAAATCAATCCCGTCAGCTATCCAGTTCCCCATCTGCATATAAGTATCTCACTCTGCCTTTTTGTCTTTTCTTTAGCTACGCACAGACTCAGAGAAGCGCTCACTGGCAGAAAGTGGGCTCAGCTGGTTTAGTGAATCAGAGGAAAAGGCCCCCAAAAAACTGGAGTACGACAGTGGTAGCCTGAAGATGGAACCTGGGACATCTAAGTGGCGGAGGGAGCGGCCTGAGAGCTGTGATGATTCATCCAAGGGTGGAGAACTGAAAAAGCCCATCAGCCTAGGACACCCTGGTTCCCTGAAGAAGGGCAAGACCCCACCTGTGGCTGTAACTTCCCCCATCACTCACACAGCCCAGAGTGCCCTCAAAGTTGCAGGTGAGCCTGGAATAAAGGAAGGCACGAGGGCAAAGACCTAGTTCTTTGGTTGCTCCTCTTCTTAGTGGTTATTAACCCATAGGATGATAGCAAACATTTGCATAGTGCTTTAACATACACTATCTTGTCTGGTCTAAGGACAGTCCTGTGAGTTAGGAAAGATGGGTATTATTATTTCCATTTTACAAATGTGAAGGAAATAGAAACTCAAAGAGGTTAAGTGGCTGGGCCAAAATCACAGATAATATGAGGAACAGGAGGGAGTGTATTTCGTTTAGAGACTAGTTTGACCTCCTTCCAAACGCTTCCAAGTTAGTCAGTCTATGTACTTATCTTCATAAGATATTATTTGACATCCCAGGAAGTTCCTAAGAAAACAAGAAATAAAATGGCTACAGCAAGAGATTATAGTTCCCCCAAAGTTGGCCCCTTGGGTAACTTTTAGACTTAATTGGCATTTTCCTCTAGTCCCTAATTACCAGGGGATATTGTCAAATTCGATTCCATTTGCTTCCCCTCCTTCTTTTCTCTTCCACAACCAGTTGTTAGGTGGATGTTTGCCTCTGCCATTTTAATCAAAATGGACCATCTTACTCTGGAAGCAAGTAAAAAAAAAAATTCGTACCTTCCCCACCCCTCCCAGCCAGAGTCTTTCAGACAAGAAACTTTATCAGCTTATCTTGTACCTGTTTATCCATATTTAGGCCTCTAAAATTCTGTAATACATGGACAATGTTCACTTCTCCCACGGAGGGAAGAAAAGGATGGGTTTTAAGGATATTGGTCAGTTTCAGCTCTTATCTCATTTCCTGTTCTCTTGCAGGCAAACCCGAGGGCAAAGCTACAGACAAGGGTAAGCTTGCAGTAAAGAATACTGGTCTCCAACGCTCCTCCTCTGATGCTGGTCGGGACCGCCTGAGTGATGCTAAGAAGCCCCCCTCGGGCATTGCTCGCCCCTCCACTTCAGGATCCTTTGGCTACAAGAAGCCTCCTCCTGCCACAGGCACAGCCACTGTCATGCAAACCGGTGGTTCAGCCACTCTCAGCAAGATCCAGAAGTCCTCAGGCATCCCTGTCAAGCCAGTAAATGGGCGCAAGACTAGCTTAGATGTGTCCAACAGCGCAGAGCCAGGATTCCTGGCTCCCGGAGCCCGTTCCAACATCCAGTACCGCAGCCTGCCCCGGCCAGCCAAGTCCAGTTCTATGAGTGTCACCGGTGGGCGGGGGGGACCTCGCCCTGTGAGCAGCAGCATTGACCCCAGTCTCCTCAGCACGAAGCAGGGAGGCCTTACGCCTTCCAGACTGAAGGAGCCTACTAAAGTAGCCAGTGGGCGGACCACTCCAGCCCCTGTCAATCAGACAGATCGGGAAAAGGAGAAGGCCAAAGCCAAGGCCGTGGCCTTGGACTCAGACAGCATCTCCTTGAAGAGTATTGGCTCCCCAGAAAGTACTCCCAAGAACCAACCAAGCCACCCCACAGCCACCAAGCTGGCAGAGCTGCCACCAACCCCTCTCAGGTACCCAGTGTGGGCAGCCTCCTCCTCGTCTGTTTGCTTTGTCATTTTTTTGCATAACTCTGCCCTCCTTAGACTAGGTGAGGCATGGCCTATCCACTATTGTCTCTAGGCCTTTGCATCTCCCTCGTATGCCAAGGTTCTAAAAGAATCTCGTTTCTGAAAGTTCTGAAAGACTGAATCCCTCTTTCAAAACTCTATTCAAAACTTACCTCATTTGTACTATTCTTTGATCAATCCTCAACCTGTCTTCAGCACTTGTGTGGGTGATTTTACTGTTTATTTATACATATATACCTATTTGCATAAATTCACTTGTATCCCCCATGTGCATATGCTGTCCCCGTTATCTAAGCTGAAGGTGCCCTAAGTTGGGTATCAGATTTCCTTCATTGTATTTCACAACAGCATTAGGATAAGCCTCTGTGCTTAGCAAATAGGCAGAAAACAAGACTGGATAAGATTTCTTTAAGCTCCTATCTGCCTCGCTCTGTAATTCTGTTATTCTAAATATTCCGTTTGATCTTCTCTCAGGGCCACAGCGAAGAGCTTTGTCAAACCACCCTCACTAGCCAATCTAGACAAGGTCAACTCCAACAGTCTGGATCTACCATCATCCAGTGACACCACCCATGCTTCAAAGGTCCCAGATCTGCATGCTACAAGCTCAGCATCCGGGGGCCCTCTCCCTTCTTGCTTCACCCCCAGTCCGGCACCCATCCTCAATATTAACTCAGCCAGCTTCTCCCAGGGCCTGGAGCTAATGAGTGGTTTCAGTGTGCCAAAAGAGACCCGCATGTACCCCAAACTCTCAGGCCTGCACAGGAGCATGGAGTCCCTCCAGATGCCAATGAGCCTGCCCAGTGCCTTCCCCAGCAGTACTCCCATCCCCACCCCACCTGCTCCCCCTGCTGCTCCCCCAGAGGAAGAGACGGAAGAGCTGACTTGGAGTGGAAGCCCCAGAGTTGGGCAATTGGACAGGTAGGTAGATAAGACAGCAGAACTCGGCCTGTGGCTGTGTCTTGGGCATGTTTTGCCATTAGCAATACTATCCTATACTTTATTGTCATGTTGTGACTTTTGCAATTTTTCACATACATTAAGTAATTTAATTTGCTTCACAAGAACCCCATGAGATAGGTAAAATATGTTTTTGAGGCCGGGCGCGGTCGCTCAAGCCTGTAATCCCAGCACTTTGGGAGGCCGAGGCGGGTGGATCACGAGGTCAAGAGATCGAGACCATCCTGGTCAACACGGTGAAACCCCGTCTCTACTAAAAAATACAAAAAATTAGCTGGGCATGGTGGCGCGTGCCTGTAATCCCAGCTACTCAGGAGGCTGAGGCAGGAGAATTGCCTGAACCCGGGAGGCGGAGGTTGCGGTAAGCCGAGATCGTGCCATTGCACTCCAGCCTGGGTAACAAGAGCGAAACTCCATCCCAAAAAAAAGAAAAAAAAAAAAAAGATATGTTTTTGTTTTAAAAGTATCATTCTTTTATTACAAATGGAGAAACCAGTGCCCAAAGAAGTTAAATGACTTATCCAAGACCTCATAATTAGGTTAACCTGTCATCCAGAGCTTTTGCTTCTTAGTCCAAAATCTTTTTTTTTTTTTTTTTTTGAGTTTTTTTCTTGTTGCCCAGGCTGGACTGCAATGGTGCAGTCTCAGCTCACTGCAATCTCCACCTCCCAGGTTCAAGCAGTTCTCCTGCTTAAGCCTCCTGAGTAGCTGGGATTATAGGCACCTCGCCACCATGCCTGGCTAAATTTTGTAATTTTAGTAGAGACTGGGTTTCACTATGTTGGCCAAGCTGGTCGTGAACTCCTGACCTCAAGTGATCTGCCCCCGCCTTGGCCTCCCAAAGTGTTGGGATTACAGGCGTGAGCCACTGTGTCCGGCTGCCCAAAATCTCTTCTATTATATTACATCCTACTTTTCCCCTCCCTTCCCCCATATGCCAAGGTTATCAAACTACCTCTGTGGTAGTTTTTACTACTATAATCTAATCTTTTATTTTTTGAGATGGGGATCTCACTATGTTGTCCAGACTGGACTCAAAACCCCTTGGCTTAAGCAATCCTTCTTCCTCAGCCTCCCGAGAGCTGTGACTACAGGCTCATTTCACTGTCCCTGGCTCTATAATATGATCTTTAAATAGCTAACCATACATTAATTTCTAATCAGAGAAAAGACATTTAGTATTTCAGAAAATTTCCCCAGTTGTAAGCCAAGAAGCAGGCTATAGCTGTCTCTTTGTTTCTAGAGCTAAAGAGGCTCATAGTCATGTCCTGCATCTAGGGGTCTGCATATCTCACACCAGGGGTCCTAAATTCTAGTTCCTAAGATGGACCCACATGCTTCTCTCTCTCTCTCTCTTTTTTTATCTCCACAGTAATCAGCGGGATCGGAACACTCTTCCCAAGAAAGGGCTCAGGTAACTCTTTAATGTGTTTTTTTCTTCCCTATAAATGGGACTCCTGGTATGTATGAAAAATCATATCTCAACCTGTCCCAGGCTCCAGTCATGAATTTAGTCACCCCTTTTGCTGAATCATTTGTATGTGGTCCCATACAAGTACCACCTAGCACCCTGCCCAAGCTTAATATT